CACTAGTACCACCACATTTTACAATTAGGATGATGTTCTCTTTCTGAAATGCGGTGTTACTTTTGATGGACACACACCTTTTAAAAAGTTTAACTTTTGACTCGTCAGTCCACAGGGTATTAGCTGAACTCTGTAGGAAGGTAAATCTCCAGGAACAGGGTTGTACAACCTTGCTTTGGGTATTGCTCCAGTAAATTGTAGCAGTTTCCGGCAAGAGTTTGGTGTTGATCAGGACAGTATCTGAGACTGTATCTGGATCCACCCACAGCACACCTGCTGTTAATAATGGAGCTGTTTTTTATTCTGATGACCCGTGGTTGTCTTCTACAATCAGTCAAACCCTAATATCCTGCGTGAAAACCACTTAACCAGGCATTAGCTTACTATAATGCAATATCAGCTCGTAAAAAATGGCCGGAGACATATGAGGTCTTTCACCGTCTGTCCCCGTTCAGTCTAGCAAAGGACAATTATTAAGATTTGTGGTCTTCTTAGTTTGCTGAAATGACCACTCGCATCAATTAATGTCTGATTGTTTTCCAGGTAATGTTGTTCGTGTAAAACATGTGACGCAAACTGAACCAATCAAATTCAAAATTAAAACAACAACAACACATTCAATCAGATTTTAATATACATTCAGGTTTAAGAGAGAATATGGAAGGTTCATATAAAAAAAATAATAATAAAAAAATATATATATATATTAGATAGATAGATAGATAGATAGATAGATAGATAGATAGATAGATAGATAGATAGATAGATAGATAGATAGATAGATAGATAGATAGATAGATAGATAGATAGATAGATAGACAGACAAAGTTTCAGTTGAATACTTTTTCAAATATTTCCTAAGTGTCATTTAACGGAGAATTTGTTTTTACCCATTAATTTCTAATAACTAATTGCTTTTGTCTTTGCCATGATGACAGTACATAATATTTTACATAATATAATATTTACAAAATTTTTCCAGTTATGGGTTATATATATATATATATATATATATATATATATATGGAAAACAATTCAAATTTCAAAGGAGGGCTCACGATTTTGCCTTCAATTGAGTATATGTCATATTTGAAAATTTGCATATAAAGTCTCAAATGATGACAGACTGCTGCAATCTCAAGTTTTGAAATAATAAATTGCTGCAAACAATGCCATAAGTAAGTAAATGAGTAAATAAACAAACAGCAACTAAATATAATGGTGGCGTAGTGGGTAGCATGATCGCCTCACAGCAAGAAGGTCATTGGTTTGAGTTCCGGCTGGGTCAGTTGGCATTTCTATTTGGAGTTTGCCCCACGTGTTGCTGTGGGCTTCCTCTGGGTGCTCCGGTTTCCCCCACAGTCCAAACACATGAGCTGTAGGTGAATTGAATAAGCTAAATTAGACGTAGTGTATCTGTGTGAATGTGAGAGAGTGTATGGGTGTTTCCCGTTATTGGGTTATGGCTGGAAGGGCATCCACTGTGTAAAACATTTGCTGGATAAGTTAGTGGTTCATTCCGCTGTGGTGACCTCCGATAAATAAAGGGACTCGCCAAAAGAAAATGAGGGAATGGAAAATATCCAAAATACAATTTTAAGCATCTCCTTTGTTGCACTTTCTAAGTTGTTACATTTATATATTATTGGCCATATTCTTAAAATATCTATATTTTTCTTGCTTTTTGCAGTATTTCTGATCAAAAATGATCACGTCTATAAAAAGACTGACCCGAAAAGGTGCTGTTTGAAACAAACAAACAAACAAACAAACAAACAAACAAACAAACAAACAAACAAACAAACAAACAAACAAACAAACAAACAAACAAACAAACAAACAAAATAAAATAAAAATCACAAGAATTTTTAACTTGCCCTCATACAGTTTTTACTATCTAAGCTTAATTTGCACATACTTAGCAAAATAATGTCATATTTGAACATAATATTTAAGAAAACATGATAGTGAAAATGTTTGCAAATGTATGTATTAACTGGAGAAGTTTATGGTGATGAATATTAAACATTTTTATCTAATATTTATTTACCCAAAAATGAAAATGGACTCACTTTACACAGGTTTCAAACATTTATGAGTTTCTTTATTCTGCTGAACACTGAAATAAGATATTCTGAAGAAAGCTGAAAAATGGTAAACCATAGCCAAAAAAACGAATACTGTAAAAAGTCGGTGGTTACAAGTTTCCAACATGTTTCTATATTTTTTCTCTTGGGTCTTGGGAAGAAAAAAAAAACAGGTTTGGAAGTAAAGGGAGAGTGAATGGTGACAGAATCTTTAAATTTGGTGAACTGTCCCTTTAAGTGAGCATTTTAAAAAAATTCCCATTAACGTTAAAGGTTCCTCATCGATCCATAATGACAATAAACAACCTTTATTTTTTGTGTTTTCACATTAAATTAAGCCTCTCTTTAACCACAACAAGTTGGTCTCTGTTGTTTTAACATTTGATTTGTTTGGTGTACAAATGACAGCTAAACTATTGAGCCCTGCAACTATTGTTAAATGACAATAATGACCTTTTATTTTTTTGTGTGTGTGTTTTTAGATGAAATTATGCCTCAAAAATGATCACTTTACCCTCATCTTCATCCCCCCATCCCCCCACTCAAAAAATAAAAAAATAAATAAAAATTGAGGTGAAATAAAGGTCATGCATGAAGTTGGTCTATTTTTTTTTTTATTAGATTTTATTGTTAAAGTTTATGGACAAAAACACAGCTATCTGATCCAGCGTATTTAAACCTTTTAATTTTTATTTGCAATTTTTTAGATTCATTTTTTATATTTTTCATTTTTTTCATGATTATTTTGATTATTTTGTTAAGCTGCATACCAAACTAACTTCGGACACAAAATTCAATAAATGGATGTAAAAGGTCAGTTTACTCAAGACAGACCGCCGTGTGAGTGGGAAACATTGGATTCTTTGTGGTCAGTTGATCTTTGGTGACCTTTGGGAACACAAACTTCCTGGATGTTTTCTATCGCCAAACCAATGTCTGGCTACTGTGGCAACCCCACTGAATGCGACCACGTCTCAAAGCACTCAATGGACGATTCAAACAAAATCAGGGAGGTTTCCGGAGAGATAAAAGAGACCTCAAGATTCATGTCAAGGGACAGTTTGAAGATAACCCCATGTCTCCGTTGACATAAACTCAACACAGCCAGCTTAATTCATGTTGACATCCGGTATTTTATTTACCATTTATAATAGTATCTCTTCTTTTGAGTCAATCTCAGTGAGTATAATCATGTTTAAGGGGACAGTTGTAAGCCAGCGGCCTTCTTTTTGAAATAAAAGTCAAGCAATACATTTCATCCTCAAAACCTCTTAAGACAATAAACATTTGCTATCAATTTCTATTATTCTGTTAAATTGCAAGATACTATTTTGTATGTATTTATCATTTATCCCTTTTTTAACATTTACATTGTTAGACAGTTTTTACATACAATCTGTATATATAATAATCAGGGCTTGACATTAACACCTGCCAACCCGCCAAATGCTGGTAGATTTCAGCTTTGGCGGGTTAGACAGACACTGCCACTAGCCATTTTGGCTGGTTGAAAATAATTTTTCAATTGTAGTTTTCTTAAAGCAGGGTTCGACTATGAGGATGACCCAATATGCGTTCAGATAGGATCTTGAAATCGAGAAATAGCACGACTAATAAAAATAATTGCGTTCACGCGAGCAATAGAAAGCAGGTGAATAGCGAATGAGCAACACAATCTTAGGGCAATTCCCAATATGCATTTAAATGGGATCTAAGAATCGAGAAATAGCACGACTAATAAAAATAATTGCGTTCACGCGAGCAATAGAAAGCAGGTAAATAGCGAATGAGCAACACAATCTCACAGCAATTCGTAACTTTTTGATTTAGTGGCTAATTCGTATGAATTTGTACGATCTAATTCGTACAATTTAGTATGATTTGCTCATCCCCCAATGACGGTTGGGGTTAGGGGTGGGGTTAGGTGCCACGCCTCCTTTTAAAAATCGCATAATTTCGTACGTCTGAACTCGTACAAATTCACACGAATTAGCCACTAAACTAGCAAAATGTCTTGCTGCTTTCATAAGCTCTAAATAAGTCTTTTTTGTAAGCATGCAGCATCGGCTCTGGTTGCTTTCGCTTTGAACAGATTGGCCTTAATCGTGTGATCATCCTTTCATTATCACTCACAGTATGCTTTTTACCTACTTTCTTTTGCTTATGATTATTTTTGTTTATATGGTTTATTACTGTTTTTTTTTTACAACAACATTGCTTTAATATGAGATTCACTCTCCATGTGTAGTTAACTGGTGATCTGAGAGACCTTTAACAAGGACAGATACTGTGTATATTTTTAATAGCCTACATGACAATACTATTTTTATTATATTTAATTATTTTTAAGTCAATTGTTTTAGTTTTTTTAAAGAAATGTTTTGTTAAATAAAACGTATAGTATACAGCTATGTAACTGTATGACTGGTGATAAAAAAAAAGTTAATTTCAAGTCCTGATGATACTATACATTTACTATGTTTACTCTGTATACGAAAAGTCAAATGCAAAAACCTGACAAAAAAAGATGCCATATGGCAGATATCTGGCATTTTTCTCAGCTTTCTATGTTTATGTTCAGATATTTCAGCTTAAATTCCATGAAATTACCATATTCCTCAATCTTAAATTTTTTTAAGTGGAGTTCCTCAACCTACACACGAGAAAAATGCTCATTTTTAGACGAATATTTCAGACAGCACGTTGTTTGCATCTGGAATCTTTATATTTACTCTGTATATGATCTCTGTATGTTCTTAGTACCTTTATAATTTGTTACTTTGGCTTTAAATGATAACAAAAGTAAACATAAAACCACCTGAAGTCCTGTCGCACCTTTCTCCGTCCGCGCGTGACCCACCCGCCGCTGACGTCAAGCGCGGCTCCGTCCAGCGGTTCGGTTTATTCAGTGCTGAATCTCGGAGCGCGCAGGAGGAGGAGGAGCTGTCAAAGTTTACAGCCGAGTTTCCTCAAGAATACGCGAAGACGAGACCACTGAACGCTTACAAAGCCTGGAACGAAGAGCCCTTCAAAGTATGGAGTGAAGCCCGATAGCTTACAAACGCAAATAATGGCAGGACCAACTGAAATCGGATTGTTTTTTACCTTATTGCTCTCCGGGAGCTTCTGCGCGACGCCGGAAAAGAAAGGTAGGACTATTGTGAAACGGCTTGTTGTGTAAGATATTAAACGCTTTTCTTCTGTGGAAAATGATTTGGGAACATCGCATTTATTTACTGTATAGAAAAGAGGAGCCTCAGTCAGTCTGACAGCCTGGAAAAAGTGTTTAAGTTTCAGCTCTCTGTCCCAAAGATAACTTACACACTTGCACACTAAACAGTGATCAACTGAAGCCTTTATGTATTGTGGCTTGGTAGACATTAAGTCTTTCTGGAACATTTTTGTTTGAGTTTCTAATTCATGAGTCAACAACTATTGTGATTGAACCTATAACCTTTCACTTGCGAGCACAGATTTGAGGTTATTTGACCCCACCCCACATTTTTTTAATAAGGTTGTGATTTATTTGCGTTTATTATGTGCTGTGGGTGGCACTGGCGTGATTTACTGTGCATAGTAGAGGTGAAGAGGAAAGGAACAAATGTACAAATGTTTTACCACGAAACCTGATTATTTTTTAAACATTTAAGTGAACACTTTAAAATAATGGTCTGTTATTGTTAGTTAATAACACAAACCACGTATGAACATCCTAGCACAGGATGTATTAATCACAGTTCAGCATTTACTGATGCATTATTATAATCCAAAATTGTGCTTGTTATCATTAGTTGATGCACTTTGGTTAACAAAAACTGAGTGACTTTATTTTCTTTAACGTTTAAAAAGATGAATGAATGCTGTGATAAATGTATCGTTCATTGTTTGTTCATGTTAGTAAATAAATTAACTAATGGGCCATTATTTATATTAATATGCTTCAGATGGTAGAAATAGCTCCGCACATTGTTTTCATGTGTAAAATGTCATTTATTACACAGTTAATGTGTATCGTTTGCTAGATTTAACTGCTGTGTGGTTGCAGGCTCTTGTATGAATGATTAATGGCATTTTTACTCAGTTTTTACTTTTGTTTTTTAGCTTTACTTACTTAAAAAAACAATAACAACCTTAATTAAATACATAAAGGTTCAAAATTGGCACAAATTTTTATCTTTTGACATTTGTGGAACCTTTAAATCAATTATTTATAGTGAAAAAAGCGTTCTTTGATTTGCACACTTGATCTTCACACTTTTTCATACATTGATGAACTGTTAGCATCCCAGCAGGCACAGGACATCTACATGACGTCAGTTTTATGTTGTACCCCAACGTCGTGGGACGTTGTATTTTGGGTGGAAATGAAAATCGGGTTTACGTCAGAACCCAACGTCAGGCCGACGTCAGTGTTGCATTTTTTTGGTTAATTTCCAACACAACCTAAAATCAACAAAATATCAACGTCTAATGGTGCTACAGCTTGACGTTGTGTGGACGTTAGCAATAAGTCTATTAGATGTTGAATTTTGGTTGCCATACCTGACGAATAAATGTAGAATAAAAAAGTGTAAAAAATGAATAAAAGATGTTGGCTTGATGTTGGATTTTTCTTACTGTCCCACACAACCTAAAATCAACCAAAAATCTACGTCATTACTGGACGTCAAAATAACATTGTCCTTAGACGCTGGCGACCTAAATCCAACCTAATATTAACGTTTTATGACGTGTGTCTGCTGGGATCCATGGAAACTTTTTATTCCACAAAAGGTTTTTAACAGTGGGAAACATTTATTTATTAATGAATGTACCTTTATTTATTTTAATATGCGTCAGATGATAGAAATAGCTTCGCACATTGATTTCATGCTGTGTAAAATGTAATTTAGTACACAGTTAATGTTTATCATTTGACAGATTTAACTGCTGTGTGGTGTCAGGCTCTTGTATCATTGATTAATGACGTTTTTACTCAGCTTTTACTCAGTTTTTACTTTTGTTTTTAGCTTTACTGACTTAAAAAAAAACAATAACAACCTTAATTGAATGCATAAAGGTTCAAAATTGGCATAAATTTTTAACTTTTAACATTTGTGGAATCTTTTAATAAATTTTTTATAGTGAAAAAAGGGTTCTTTAGTTTGCACACATGATTTTTACACTTTTTCACCCACTGATGAACTGTTAGCATCCCAGCAGGCACAGGACATCTACATGACGTCAGATTGACGTTGTACCCCAACGTCATGGGACGTTGTATTTTGGGTGGAAATGAAAATCGTGTAGACGTCAGAACCCAACGCCAGTTGACGTCAGACAAATGTTTCATTTTGGTTAATTTACAACACAACCTAAAATCAACAAAATATCAACGTCTAATGGTGCTACAGCTTGACGTTGTGTGGACGTTAGCAATATGTCTATTAAATGTTGTTTGGTTGCCATACCTGACAAATAAATGTAGAATAAAAAAGTGTAAAAAATGACGAATAAAAGATGTTGGCTTGATGTTGGATTTTGCTCACTGTCCAACACAACCAAAAATCAACGTTATTATTGGATGTCAAAATAACATTGTCCCTTGACACTGGCGACCTTAATCCAACCTAATATTATCGTCTTATGACGTTGTGTGTCCGCTGGGATCCATAAAAACTTTTTATTCCACAAAAGGTTTTTAACAGTGGGAAACTTTTATTTATTAACTAATGTACCTTTATTTATATTAATATGCGTCAGATGACAGAAATAGCTTTGCTCATTGTTTTCATGTGTAAAATGTAATTTAGTACACAGTTAATGTTTAAGTGGTTGCCAGATTTGACTGCTGTGTGGTTGCAGGCTCTTGTATCCATTTAACTTTTCACAATGATTAATGCTGTTTTTACTCAGCTTTTACTTCAGTTTTCAGCTTCACTAACAATTATAACCTTAACTGAATTTGAAGACACTCTTAAAAATAAAGATTCTTTATCAGCATCAATGCATGGTCTCATTAAGAACTTTTAACATATGTGAAAATGTATATTTCTATAGTGACAAAGGGTATTTGCTTTGTTAAAATAGTCTTCACACTATAATAATAGTAAAAAGCATGGGTCTTTGTGGTAGTCTCTACTGAAAGGTCTGGTTCTTGGCATTGCTGGTAAAATCGCCCATTTTATTTTTAGCAGATTAAGTAATTTTTAAATATTTAAGGTTCATTATTGACATTGATGAACTCTTAACATCCATGGAAAATTGTCATCCCTTTAACTGCATGCTCCACCAAATGCTTGAGCATGTTTTGACTGTTTTAAATAATGGTCTGCACTCTGCACACAACATTGTTGGTTTACAAAAAAAAATCAAACAAATGTAATAATGTTGCAGTACTACACATGATTTTGGTTTTATTGTACAAAAAAAAAGCAAGAAAGTGTGTTAAATGAGAATCTGAAATATTTTATGGCATACTTCAATTCAAAAAAGTTTTATTTTGATTGTTTTGAAGTATTCACCTAAAGTTTTTCTGACTTTCATAGTATATTTATTAATTATCATAAACCGACATATCAAACATTTTGTAGAGGTTGATATTTTAGAAATTATAGGATGTGATAAAAATAAAAAAAAGCATTGAGTGTGTTAACTAGTAAGATTAGGAGATATTTTTTTTCTCTGTGGGGTAGTTAAAGGGTTATTCCACAAAAGCTTTTTAACAGTGGGAAAAACTTATTTAGATTATTGAAATACTCTTCAAAACATGTTTCTTTTTTAAATTCTTCCCTAAAAGGACCTTTTTAGAACCAGCAATGGATCATCTATGGCATCACTGTGAAAGCCTTTTTGAAGCTCAATTTTATGTATGTTGTCTATAATATGTGCTCATATGTGGTCCGCCGCTCCAGTCTTTTATATAAATTCAATTACCTAAAGCCATTTATGTAACCTACAATGTTAGTGTTAGAGTTTGTCAGATTTATTAGATTTGTTAAAGTGTGTTTATATGCCACTCTGCGTATTATTGAGATGGTCTCGGGGGCATCCTGTGTGTAAACACATGACTGTGCCAATACTGACAGATGGGACACACACAAATCACTTTATTACAGTCTGCTTCCTCATTTGGACTCATTCAGGTTTACTTTCACTGTGCCAAGAGAGGAATCACTTTCCTTTAATATGAATTCTCTTTGACAGTCTTCAATGGTGTTATATTTTTGGGTACCTTTGAGTGGGTGTTTATTGCAATTACTGGAAATCATATAGAGGACGTACTCACAGTGAATTGCACTGATTCAGCTGCACGCTTAGTGTTTTAGAGGACAGGTATTACAGTATCAATGAGGACAGTCGTGACGTCCTATAATGTCTTCAGGCTCCCTGTTGTGCCTCGCTCAAGGTCAGAGAAAAGCTGCCGCTATCTGTTATATTTAAGCCAGAAACTGCTGTTTAGTCTTCATAGACTGAAAATGAGATAAATGCATTTGCTGGCCCTGATTCCAAGCAAATCATTTTGAGCTATATTGAATTTTCAGTAAAATGTCCCACATTCGGTCATCAGTCCAGCCTTAAAACAGACTTTCAAGTGTCTCTTCCCCTTCATCAGTTTGGCATTGACCTCTGGATGCAGTCCAGCCTTGTTGTGACCTAGAACAGTGTCTCTCAGGCAGTCACCTAAATAAATCAGCAGTGCAGATGCTGGAAATTCAAGTGTTAAACACTTTTTTAGGATACTATTTGTTGTGGTTTGCCACCTAAATCAAACTAGCTTCAAAGCATTCATTTCCAGAATAGAACAGAGACGTTTCTTCCTTTTCTGGGAAGACATTAGTCTGTAACCAGGCTAAATAATCCACATATGTAACTGAGTTTTTAGCCCATCATTGAGATGTGTTCACACATGCAAATGTGTGTAAATGTATATTTGTTCAGTTTTTATAATAATTTCAGTAATATTATTGACTGATATGCACATTTTTATACAGTATGATTAGTAAAGTAATACTTTGCAAAGTAATATATTTGTCTTTTAGTAGATATATCAAGTTTTGCATGCTTTGTTTACCAAACAAGTGAATCTAAATGGATTTGTATTGTAAACCTTATATACAAGTTGAAAAGTTAGTGTTTTTATTACAGTGTGTTTCAAGTTTTTAGTCAC